GGTCTCCAAGTCCTGGCCTCAGATGATTTGCCCGCCTCGGCCTCCCAAAGTACTGGGATTACAGGCATGAGCCACAGCACCGGGCCCCAGCAAAATCTTAAGCAGGACAAAGCTCCCCACCCCCAGGGGCCGGGGGAGGGGGGAATGTCTGGAATTCCAAAGCGTAAGATTGGGGCTGGTTGGGGGTTGAAATAGGTTGAGAAAATCTGGACTAAATGCCCTTTAAGATGTACTGAATTCTGCCAGTCTGTGTGAAATCCTCTTGCTGATTATCGATCGTCGGAAGGGAATTTTCAGTGTGATGCGAAGTGAGAATTTCATGCTCGTTTTGAGGACCCCACCCCACCCTGTGTACACATAGGGTAACCTCTAGACAGAATGAATTTTTTTTTTTTTGTTGAGACAGGGTCTTGCTCTGTTGCCCAGGTTGAAGTGCAGTGGCATGCTCAGGGCTCACTGCAGCCTCCACCCCACCAGGCTCAAGTGATCCTCCTACCTCAGGCTCCCGAGTAGCTAGGGCTACAGGTGCATGCCACCACACCTGGCTAATTTTTCTATTTTTTGTAGAGATGAGATTTCGCCATGTTGCCCTGGCTGTTCCTGAACCCCCGCGCTCAAGTGATCCACCTGCCTTGATCTTTCAAAGTGCTGGGATTATAGGCATGAGCCACTGCACTCAGCCCTCAGAATGAATTTTTAACGCTAGTTCTGACTACTGAATTGCAACAGCCTCTGGCCACAGTGAAAGCCCCTGCCTTGCTGCCCCACACTCAGAGATTTAGAGGCGGCCAGATGCCAAGCTGCTCTGGGGAGCCTCTGCTCCACCCTTCCTCTCCCTGGGGACTGGCCTTCCTCCAGGTGGGTCCCTTGGAGCCTGGGTGCCTCCCCAGCTCCTTCCAGGCATCCCATAAACATGCTCTGGGTGCCAACACCCCTCCCCACCTCTAAGCCCCCTCTTCCTTGTCAATGCCCATTTCCTTCCAAGAAGGATCCTCCTGTTCCATTCGTCCTGCTGGCTGCCTCCCCGCCACTTCTTGGCAGAGCCCCAGTGAACCCCATTGCCTCTGCCTAGTTGGTCTCTTTCTCTTTCTTTGCTTCTGGGAATTCTCTTTGCTCTCAGCCTTTTTCTCTTGATTTTGCTTGTTTATTTCTCTTCCCACTCATTCCTTCATTCATGTATTGGGACTTAGCACAATTATTAATCATTTTTCCAAAATGTCTTATTTAATATCCATATGCCTCTTGTACTGTGATTTCCAAGACGGCAGAGTCTGGGTCTTTCTCACACATGCCTGGCCCGTAGTCGATTTTTGGCAAATATATGAGTAGATGCACTTGCCCTCCCCTTCCTTTTCCCTTCCAGCCAGGCTGACTGCCCAGTCCCTGACTCCTGAGAACAAGCTACAAACACTGAGAGCTGGGCTTTGAACCAATGACTGGGCTGTGGGCTGGCCTGCCTTGTGGCCTTAACTCCCTCCCTTCTGCCTTTTCTTTTTTTTTCTTTCTTTCTTTTTTTTTTTTTTAGAGACAAGGCCTTGCTCTGTCATGCAAGCCTGTGTCGTGGCTTGATAATAGCTTACTGCAGCCTCGAACTCCTGAGCTTAGCCTCAGCCTCATGAATAGCCGGGACGGGGACTGCAGCTGAGCACCACCATGCCTGGCTAACTCTTATTTTTTAATTAATTTAAATTATTATTATTATTATTTTGAGACAGTCTCGCTCTGTCGCCCAGGCTGGAGTGCAGTCTGCTCACTGCAACCTCTGCCTCCTGGGTTCAAGCGATTCTCCTGCCTCAGCCTCCTGGGTGGCTGGGATTACAGGTGCATGCCACCACCCCCGGCTACTTTTTGTATTTTTAGTAGAGATGGGGTTTCGCTCTGTTGGCCAGGCTGGTCTTGAACTCCTGACTTCAGGTGATCCACTTGCCCCAGCCTCCCAAAGTGCTGAGATTATAGGTGTGAGCCACCATGCCCGGCCTCTATTATTTTCATTTATGCACATTCCCTTCCAGACTTGCTTGGTTTGTATGAGAAAAAAGAAATTAACATTTTCACAATCATAGTGCATCACACAACCATGTATTCCACTTTTAAAAATTCTTGAATAGTTTCCCATGTCACTACCAAGTCTGTCGATATCATTTTAAATGGCTACACAACACCCCCTTGCATTTTTCGTTTGCTTTTTTTTTCTTTACAGAGGTGCTCGAGTTACCCCCCTGCATTTCTTGAGTATTGACTTTTATTAGTTTTTTGTTTCCCTCCCTGTATGATTTTACCCAAGCTCCTGGCATGGCAGGGCCATGCAAGTTCTCACCAATCCTTTCTTCTTCCAGACTGCACCTGGCTCTTTAAGCCTAACCCGTCCTCCCACCCCTGTGGGGACTCTCAGGTCCCTTTTAGTAAACAAGGACAGGCTCTGCCCCACCACCTCACAGAGGCACAGAAGCACTGTTCAAACACACATGCCCACGACATTGCCACCCACGGACTAGGAACAAAGACACTGGAGTCTTAAGTCCTCTTGGAGACACAAGGTCTTCAAAGCTTGCCGGCAAATGTGGTAGTAGGCACTTAGAAAATAACTGTGTAGAAGCAGCAGTGGGGAGGTGGGATGCAGTGACCCAGCAGGCATTTCTAACCCCACTTTGCTTCTAACACTTCAGCAGCTGCAATTTTTTTTTCTTCTTTTCTTTTTAAGAGACAAGGTCTCTGGCTGGGTGCAGTGGCTCACGCTTTTAATCACAGCACTTTGGGAGGCTGAGGTGGGCATATCATGAAGTCAGGAGTTCGAGACCAGCCTGGCCAACAAGCCTGGCCAACATGTTGAAACCCCGTCTCTACTACAAATACAAAAATTAGCCGGGCATGGTGGCATGTGCCTGTAATCCCAGCCACTCAGGTGGCTGAGGCAGCAGCATTGCTGGAACCCGGGAAGCGGAGGTTGTAGTGAGCTGAGATCGTGCCACTGCACTCCAGCCTGGGTGACAGAGCAAGACTCCGTCTCAAAAAAAAAAAAAAAGACAAGGTCTCACTCGTTGCCCAGGCTGGAGTGCAATGGCATGATTATAGCTCACTGCAGCCTCCAACTCCTGGGCTCAAGTGATCCTTCAGCCTCAGCCTCCTGCGTAGCTGGGACTACAGGTGTGTACCACCATACCCACCTTATTTATTATTTTCTGTAGGGATCGGGTCTCACTCTGTTGCACAGGCTGGAGCAGCTGCCAATGTTAATTAAACCTTGGGATCTCTTCAGAGGATTTAATTGGCACCAAGTGGAAATATTTCATCCAGTCCAACTGGATCACTGTACAGATGGGAAAACTGAGGCCCTGAGAGACGAGGCGGTAGGTGTAGGAACATCATTCTGGATAGCCCCTGAGCTGTTTTCAAAGCACCCCTGAAAGAGTGCTTTTGAGATCTGAAACGAGAAAGTAGTAGTTCCTCAAGGGAGATGAAGTTTGACCTGGCACTATATTCTGAAAAATTTGAAAAACTGCCTCCTCCTCAAATCCTTTAAACCAGGATTTTCACATGAGGCCTGAACACCAGTCTGGGTGGGTGGGAGGTATAGAGACTAAGAGAAGGTGAGAGGGGCCGTGTGAACAGGAACGGGTAAGACCAGTAAATCCTGGGAACTCCCAACTCACCTCGCCTTGCTCCAGGGACAAGCACTGGACCTGAGGAGTTCAGGGAGGTCCCTGGCAAATGCCTCCAGGAGGAAACAGAGTCTTCCTGCTGCCCGTCAGGACGGCTGACCCTGGGCCTGATCTCAGCTAATTCAGCAGCTCAGGGGGAGGACACCATCCCCGTATCTGCTCTGCATCTCAAATAGACCAAGAGGGCTGGCAAGGCAGAGGGATTGCTATTGATTTTCACTTGTGTGGGCTGACCTAACAAAACCAATCCATCAAGTGCCTGTCTGCCTCTGCTTCAGACTCTCATCCTAAGCACGTGCAAATAAATTGCACCAGCATCCAGGGTGATTTGTCAAGGTCCAGCCAGGCATGGGCCCTGGCTTCCGCTGACAGGATGGGGCTCCAGGCTGGGCTGGGCTAGGGTCAGCCCAGTCAATGCCCCACTGTTGACTCGCCATTGACTGACAACATGCATGGTGGCCTGGCAGCTGCTGCCACGCTAGGAACTGGTTGGCCCTGCCTGGGAAGGGGCTTTGAGGAACCAAGTCCCACTCACTTCCACAGGGCTTGGCAGTGACAGTCTCACTTGTTTCTTTTTTTTTTTTTTTTTTTTTTTTTTTTTTTTTTTTAATTTATTTATTATTATTATACTTTAAGTTGTAGGGTACATGTGCATAACGTGCAGGTTTGTTACATATGTATACTTGTGCCATGTTGCTGTGCTGCACCCATCAACTCGTCATTTACATCAGGTATAACTCCCAATGCAGTCCCTCCCCCCTCCCCCCTCACTTGTTTCTTAAGGTTTCTGTGTGAACTCTCGATTTGGGGGGATTTATTACAGTGCAGATGCCACCATGAGGTGCTGAGTTTGGGTGCTGCCTCTGCCACTGGCTGAATGTCCTTGCACCCGTTGTGAGATGGAGATGCCACCACCTACAGGGTCTATAGCCCTATAAAGGCCAGGGTCCAATTCCTGTTCTGCCACTTTCTAGCTGTGGGCGGGGCAGGTGCCTTCAGTCCTTGGTGCCTCATTTTCCTCACCTGCACTACAGGGCTGAAAATGGTCCCTACCTCCTACGGTGGAGCTGTCATAACTGAATGAGAAAATGGAAAGGACCACAGGGGCTCCCCCCAACCAGCCCTTCATTCCACTAGCAAGGACTGGAGGCTCAGAGAAGGGGGTGACAGTCTGGGGTCACACAGCAATGCAGAGCAGCATTAGGGGGGTTACAGGGGCCGCAAGCAAGAGGCTGATGGAGAGAGCACCTGACCATTCTGACTGACCATCCTGCCCTCCAACTGGTGGCCGTCCCTGAAGAATGAGACACAGGGAATGTGGGTCATGGGCATACACGGATCTTCGTTTGAAAGGGTCAAAAATTTTATTAGCAGGCCTCTTTCTGTTTTTGAATATACAGGTTTCCTGCTGTCCAGGGTAAAGGGGAAGTGGTGTCTTGTGGCCCGAGGTTTGTGGCGCTTGCCTTGGGACTCCATGCCCGTCCCTTTCCCACCAGCACGGCTGGGGGAAGGTGCCTGCTTGCTGGCCCCATGGATTCTTCGGCTGTGGCATAAGGCACTGTGTGTTCTGCAGGAAGGCGCTCATGGCTGGCTGGTAGATGAGAGGCGGCCTTCTCGGGCTGCAAAGCTGAGGCTGTTGAGGGGTTGAGTTGAACTTGGGGACCCTGGTGAGGAGGCCCCAGGCGATGGGAGCGCAGCCTGGTGAGTCTGGTGCCGCTGCCTCCCCACTGGCCCTGCACCAGGCCTCAGGATGGGATCATGCCTTTGCTCCTCTTGCGGTCAGCCATCGTTCTCCGGTTGTGGTTGGCTCTTGCTGCCTTGTTGGCTTCCTTCTTCCTGCGTTCCTGGGTTGTCTCGCGGCTCTGCCCATGGCCCCGGGGGCTGCCGGCTACTGCTGTTGAGCTGTCATGCCGGTACCTGAGGGAGACACAACCCACCCCACGAGAATCTGTCAGCCGGAAGAGGCTCTGGCAGGGAGAGCGCACAGCCTGCCTTGGTGTTCACTGGGAAAGGACATGCAGACTGGGCTGGGTCACCCATGTCCCAACTTCAGAAGGAGAGATGGAGCCCGGCAGGGGCAGGGCCCTGGGGCTCTGACCAGCCCCGAGCCTGGTGTTTTCTCTTCTCTCGGCCTTGCTTCCAGGTGCCCCCATCGCTATGTGTAGCGGAGGCACAGCTACAGGGCTGACACAGCGCACAGGAGACGGGGCGGGCTTTGGGGGGGGGGGTCTCCTCCTTTCTCCGTCTGGGGCCACATGCTGCAGCTGAGACATTACTCCTGTTCTCCACCCTAGGGCTTTGCTTGGCAGCCTCCAAAGACCAAGAGCACTCACAGATGCGACCTAGGGCCCTTTCAGACCATCTCGACCACCGGGATTTGCCAGAGCTCCGCACTCGGGGTTGGGATGGATGAGAAGTCAGGGTTGCTCTGCTCCCTGCTCAACAACCTTGTATGGCTCCCCACTGCCCTCAAAATGAAATCCAGATGCCTTCCCTGTGGCCAGGCCTCCTGCACCCAGTAGACAGTGCTGCATGAAGCCTAGGGCCAGGATCAGGGAGTGGGCTTTTACTCCTGGCTTGGCCTTAGGTGGAGGCAGATCCTTGGCCCCTCTGAATATTTCCTCACTGGGAAGATGTGGGGCCTGGATGAGGAGTCTCTGGGTACTGATCTCAGTTCCCCTCAAAGATCCCTCTCCTGACCATGCCTGCTTGCTTTCTTTTCTGCCCTCCTATGACAAACTCCTCTGAGCCCTTTTCACCCTTAGGGGCCCAGCTCAAGTGCTCCTCACTTCCATACCTCTATCAGCCGGAAAGGATGTGTGTCTGTCTGAGCTCTCTCACATTTACACTCTGCCTGATATCAGCTAGCCCTGGACGCATTGGGTGATAAATCCCCTCCTGTGTTCACCAAATAATGGTTATGAGTGGGGACCCTGGAGCTGAGCCATCTGGGCTCCATCTTTGCTCCGTCACGTACTAGCTCTGTGACCTCTGGCTGGTTACCTAATGTCTCTGGGCCTGAGTTTTTTCATCTGTCAAATGAGGATAGTGATAATGGTAGCTACTTCACAGGGTTATCGTGAGAACTAAATACACATGGAGCACTTAGGGTGTACGTGTGGGTTTCCTGGCTGGCTGGTTGGGCCCTCCCCAGATGCTGGGAGGGGTCCCCCTAGAAGCAGCCCCTTGAATGCTCACCCCTTCTTGGCGAGAAAGGCCATGCGCCTGGCTTCTGCTTTCTCTCTCAGCACTGCAGGGTCCTGCACGAAATGGTCAGGCTGTGGAAGGGAGACGAGACCAAATCTGGAGTCAGGAGCTGCCGCATTTTCCTAAGCGGCAGTGAGGCCCTGCTCAAGTGAATCTTGTCGATGCCTCCATGTCATGTGTGGGGGGAAGCTGCAGCCTGGCAGAGCAATGCCCAGGAATGGAGCGGGATTACTGTGGTCTGAGGTTTCCATTAGGAGCCCCCTGCCCCACCTCTTCCCTGAGCAGGTGGCAGCTGAAGGGACTGAGGCTTCCTGGACAGGCTGGTAGAGTGGATAGACCATAGTTATGGCAAAACAATGACAAATGGGAGTGTCGGGGAGGCCAGGATGGCCACTGTGAGAGGCCATGAAGGGCTCTGAAGGCTGTGGGAGCCACCCCTGGGAGCTGAGTGGTCCTGGGAGCTGCAGGCCTAGGCCTCACTCTGGCACCACCAGCAGCATGTGTGAGAGTGCCCACTCTCAAGGACAGCCTTCTGTGCCAATAGTGCAAGGAAAAACCGGGACCTAGGAACCACAGACAGGCTTTGGTGGCCAGTAGCTTTAAAAAGGAAAAAAAGGCCAGGCACTGTAGTTTACATCTGTAATCCCAGCACTTTGGGAGGTCTAGGTGGGAAGATCACTTGAGTCCAGGAGTTTGAGACCAGCCTGGGCAATACTGTGAGATCCCATCTCTACAAAAACATAAAAACTAGCCAGGCGTGGTAGTGTGAGCCCATAATCCCAGCTACTTGGGAAGCTGAGGTGGGAGGATTGCTTGGGCCTGGGAGTTTGAGGCTGTAATGAGCCATGACTGCCCCACTGTACCCCAGCCTGGGTGACAAAGCAAGACTCTGTCTCTATAAACAACAAGAAGGCTGGGCATGGTGGTTCACGCCTGTAATCCCAGCACTTTGGGAGGCCAAGGCGGGTGGATCACCTGAGGTCAGGAGTTGGAGACCAGCTTGGCCAACATGGTGAAATCCCGTCTCTATTGAAAATACAAAAAATTAGCCGGGTGTGGTGGCGAGCTCCTGTAATCCCAGCTACTTGGGAGCCTGAAGCAGGAGAATCACTTGAATCTGGGAGGCGGAGGTTGCAGTGAGCCAAGATCGCGCCATTGCACTCCTGCCTGGAGGACAAGAGTGGGACTCCATCTCCAAAACAACAACAACAAAACACACACACACAAAACTGGTAGGTTTCACATAAAAATCTGGGCTGACCCCTTGCCTGAGAAGCAGAGAGATCTGTGGAAACCGAGTCTGTGCTTCCACCGAGGAGCCCCTGAGGCAGGGCATGTGCTTCCCGCTGCTCAGCGCAGTCCCCACCAGGCCCCGCTACTCATTGCCGTTGGTGACCCAGCCCCAGAAACATCTGAATTTGTTACCCTGGTGTGGGGCATGATCCCAGGTTGCTGCCCCGTCACCTGAGTAGTACCGCTTTTATCTATTCTATATGTTGAGGTTCTAGTTAAGATTTCATTCAAATAAAAAGTTTAGCTGCTAAAAAGTAGAATTTTCTAACCTACTGATCCAGATGACTTCCCAGGGCCCTTGGGCTCGAACTCCTCTCTGATTTTAAGAATTGCCATCCTGGGCACGGTGCTGGTAACTGCCCTTCTCCTGACCCCCAGGCTCCTGGGCCTAATAATGAAGCTGGCGGCTCAGAGGCCCTGCCTTTAATCTGTCCCCTGGGTCCTCACTAGTGGGCAGCAGAAGTGAGTTCTAAGCCAGCAGCTCTCCAAGCAGACATCCTGGGCTCAACGTGACTCCTCCTGTCCCTGCCAGTGAGGCTGGGGCTGCCTCACGGCCAGATGTAGGGAGCGGTGAGGGGCACTTCTGATTCACCCTTCAGAACTGCACTTTCCCCTTCATCTGCCACCTGCCAGGAAGGTACCTTGGGAGCCTCCTCGTCAGCCTCCTCTTCCTCATCGTCGTCATCCTCCTCCTGCCCTTCTCTAGGCACTTTGGTTCTCAGCACCTGAGGGATGGTGAATGGCCTGAGGGTGTGGAGAGAAATGAGATCAAAGACAAGGTTCAACCAGGAGCAAGAGTCACAAGGAGGAGGGAACCTGGTTGGGTGAGAGGGGGCCGCCAGGAGGGCTCAGGAGGCTGAGAAAAACCAAAGGGGTTTCAAGCCAGCTTTGCTCTAGCCCCTGGATTCTCTGAGGTTAACAGAATTTGAGGTGGGGGTTCAGGGGGAGGCTGAGATGGGGCCGGGAGGGTCTCCAGTTCTCTCTTTAGTCAGGACAGCTCTGCTTTGATCTGTATTGGGGAAATCGCTGTAACATTCCGCCTGAAAACGTTTTATTCAATTAAGAAGAAAAACGGACTGCATGCGGTGGCTCACGCCTGTAATGCCCACACTTTGGGAGGTTGAGGTGGAAGGACTGCTTGAGCCCAGGAAGTGAGACTAGTCTGGGCAACATAGTGAGAACCCCACCTCTGCAAAAAAAAGAAGAGCTAGCAGGGTGTGGCGGGGTGTGGAGGTGCGTGGCGGGGTGTGGTGGGGTGTGGCAGTAAGTGGCAGTGCGCACCACACCACACCCGTAGTCCCAGCTACTCAGGGGGCTGAGGTGGGACGATCACTTGTAGTCTAGGAGACCAAGGCTGCAGTCAGCCATGATTCCATCACTGCACTCCAGTCTGGGCGACAGAGGGAAACTGTCTCAAAAAAGAAAAATGCAAAGCTACTGCATGACACTGAATAAATGTTGCCCCATTTAGGATGGGCTGGGGGGTGGAAGAGCACTGGATTAGGAGTCAGGAGGACTGGGTTTGGGCCCTGGATCTGCCGCATCTGTGTAAACAAGTGGATGAGGGAGCCCCACGGGCCTGCGAGCTGCTCTGCCCTGGAATGCCACCTCCTCTACGGCCTCACCTGCGGCTGATGAGCTCGTCGTCTGAGTCTGCATCATTGGCGCCCACCTGGTTGCCATCGTATGTGTCATCGTACTCATCCTCGTAGTAGACACTGTGGTAGGGCAGGCTCTCGCCTGGCTGCAGTGGCACCTGCAATGACATAAGCATGGGTTTGGGGGGCTCGGGGGCTGGACCGGTCTCCCCGGCCCCGCAGAGACCTGGCCTTGGTAGCCTACCTCCTCCACCACCACGCTGTACTGCTCGTAGCGCTGCCGCTGTGCCGCCACTGCACGCTTGTCGTTCAGCAAACTCCGCGTGTTTTCCTCCTTCCTGGTGCTGAGAAGGAACAGCAGAAAGAGGAAGGAAAACCATCAGGCTTGGAAGGTCACAGGGTACGGAGGGTCCATAGACCACAGGCTTAACTGCTCCAGCCCTCAGACTGTCACAGAGACAAATGAAATCAAGCCTTGGTGAGGGCGTGGGAAGGTGGGACTCTCACTGCTGCTGGTGCCCATAAGGATGGCTCCAGTCACTTTAGAGGGCATCCCAAGAGCCATTGTTTTTTCTTTGTTTTTTGTTTTTTTGAGAGGAAGTCTTGCTCTGTTGCCCAGGCTGAAGTGCAGTGGCACAATCTCGGCTCACTGCAACCTCCGCCTCCCAGGTTCAAGCAATTCTTCTGTCTCAGCCTCCCGTATAGCTGGGACTACACACCCAGTTAATTTTTGCATTTTTATTAGAGATGGGGTTTCACCATGTTGGCCTGGTTGGCCTCAAACTCCTGACCGCAAGTGATCCCCCCACCTCAGCCTCCCAAAGTGCTGGGATTACAGGTGTGAGCCACTGTGCCAGGCCAAGAGCCACTGTTAAAAGGTAAAATGGGGCCAGATGCAGTGGCTCACTCCTGTAATCCCAACACTTTGGGAGGCCGAGGCGGGTGGATCACGAGGTCAGAAGTTCAAGACCAGCCTGGCCAAGACAGTGAAACCCTGTCTCTACTAAAAATACAAAAATTAGCAGGGCATAGTGGTGGGTGCCTGTAATCCCAGCTACACAGGAGGCTGAGGCAGGAGAATCGCTTGAATCTGCGAGGCAGAGGTTGCAGTGAGCCGAGATCACGCCACTGCACTCCAGCCTGGGCGACAGAGCGAGACTCCGTCTCAAAAAAATAAATAAATAAAAAAGGTAAAATGTGCTCACCTTTCAACCAGGATATTCCCTGTCAAGGCATGGACCCTAAAGAAACACTGACTGTGTGTACAGAGGTGTGATTAGGGATTTTCTTTTCAGCATTGTTTGCAACAGTGAAAAATGGAAAGCAACTAATGTCCATCATGAGTGAAAGAGCCAAATGAACTGTGCCACATCTAAATTACAGATTGCTATGTGGCAGTTGTCAAGAAAGACATTGATCTATTTGTACTAACTCGGAAAGAATTCTCACTTATTCTCAAGGAAAAAAAGCAAGCTACAGAAAAATGCATACAGTATGATCCCAAAAGCAAACCACACTAACTCTGTTTCTATGGCCACACACCTATGCATGTCAATGCAGAGAGAAGGCTAGTAAGCCCCTCACCAAATGACAGTGGTTACTGCTTGGAAGCACTTGGAGTTGTTTAAATCTTTTTTTTGTTACAGGCTACAGTGCAATGATATGATCTTGGCTCAAGCTCCTGAGTAGTTGGGAGTACAGGCGCGTGCCACCATGCCTGGCTAATTTTTGTATTTTTTTATAGAGATGGAATATCTGCCATGTTGGCCAGGCTGGTCTGGAACTCCTGGCCTCAAGTGATCCGCTTGCCTCAACCTCCCAAAGTGCTAGGATTACAGGAATGAGCCACCGCGCCCGGCCTAATTTTTAAATTTTTTTGTAGAGACAGGGTCTCACTATATTGCTCAGGCTGGGCTTGAACTCCTGGGCTCAAGTGATCCTCTGCTTCAGCCTTCCAAAGTGCTAGGATTACAGGTGTGAGCTACTGTGCCCAGACTGGATCACTTAAACAAAAATTTTTTTCATTTTAAAATTTTTACTTGTTTATTGTTTTTTCAAAAATGACCTTTCCTTGCCAACAAACAAAAATTTAAGAAGCAGCAAGGCCACATGTGGCTTTCTGACTGAGCTCAAGGGAGCCCTAGGGACCTTTGGGATGTAAGAAAAGGTGGGAGGCTCAGTCCTCTTCCTATCACCCCCACCTCACCACAGCAGCCTTCTGTCTCTTCCACAGCTCAAGTTTCCATGTAAAATTTCACTGGAAGAAAATGTTTGGAAGCCCAACTCCGGTCATGTTACACGTGAGGAAACCCGGGGCCGGACGCGGTGGCTCATGCCTATAATCCCAGCACTTTGGGAGGCCGAGGCGGGCGGATCGCGAGGTCAGGAGATCAAGACCATCCTGGCGAACACAGTGAAACCCCGTCTCTACTAAAAAATACAAAAAATTAGCTGGGCATGGTGGTGGGCACCTGTGGTCCCAGCTACTCGGGAGGCTGAGGCAGGAGAATGGTGGCACCCGGTGAACCCAGGAGGCAGAGCTTGCAGTGAGCCGAGATTGTGCCACTGCACTTCAGCCTGGGAGACAGAGCTAGACTCCGTCTCAGAACAAAACAAAACAAACAAACAAAAAGGTGAGGAAACTCGGGTGCACTGGGTGGGGGAAGGGACATGTTTGGGTCACAAGTGAGCTGAGCTCGGCAGAGACTGAGGCTTCTTAACTTGTGGCTTTGCAAACCTGTGAAAAAACCTGGCTTGTCAGAAACATACCCAGGCCTGTGGAATGTAGCTTCTAGCCCTGCAGGGGAAAATCAATATGAGATGCCAGGCAAGAAAATCCAGCTTAGCTGTGAAATCGGGTCTCTGGAATGTATCAAGGGTAAGATAATAAAAAAAAAGAAAAGACACAAAGCCAAACACAGCTTCCATAAAAATCTTCTATGAACTGGCTTTTGGTGCAGGGAGAGGCAGGCGTCTGAGTCCGTCTCAGTCTGTCGGGCTGTCTGCCTGGCAGCCAGGGCAGGTCAGGACTGCAGCCTTCAGCGTGGTGGACAACGGTTTGCCTCCCTTCACGTCTTTTTTTTTACTGAGGACAGGAGTCTCACTCTGTTGCCAAGGCTGGAGTGCAGTGGCGCGATCTCAGCTCACTGCAACCTCTGCCAACCAGGTTCAAGCAATTCTCCTGCCTTAGCCTCCCGAGTAGCTGGGACTACAGGTGTGTGCCACCAAGCTCGGCTAATATTTTGTGTTTTTTTTTTTCAGTAGTCTTTATTAAGGACCTGCTCTGTGCCAGGCAAGGTATGAGGCTGAGTTGGGGAGAGATTCAGAAATGAAGAAAATATAGCTCTGCCCTCATGAACTCAGTGTAGTGGGGATGACAGACCAATCAACACAAAATGTGCTGAACAGAGGCCCTGGAAACAAAAGGAATGAACTTGGTTCAGGAGGACTGGCGGGGCATCTGTAGGAAGGGGTAATGGAGGTTCCACGGTAAGAGGCTACTTGACTGGACCAGGAGCCCCAGGGTATGGCAGGAGGGATGGTGCACTTGATTTAGACCAGGGAGAAATCTCAGTTCAAAGAAATCTTTCACATCCACCAGGGAAGGGGCCTGTGACTGTGACCTTGGCCCTGTACCTGGCTTTCTTCGCTAAGTTGAAAAAGAGGTAGAGAGGAAGAAAAAGGAGCCCAAGCTTGTTCAGGCGGTAGGGTGCCACTGGTAGGAGCACATCCATGCATTTGACACATATTTCCTAAGGGCCTAATAGCTTCCAGGACCTGCGCTGGGCCATGAGACTGGGGAAGAATGAGAGGCGTCACCATCCTTTCTGCTACACCTTCGGCTTCTGGTCCATCCCGTCCCTGGTTCTGTGCAGTGGGGCAGTTCTTCCATGCTATGTGGCCTCTGGTTATGTGGCTTCCTGGCAAGGCCAGGCAGAGAAGCATGGCAAGCTCCACCCACCCTAGCTGTGCCCTGGAAGAAGACACAGGTAGGGACAGTGAAACCCAGGCACCCGGGCAGCCTGTCCAGGGAGGTGTAACCTTGGCCCCAGACATCATTTGGAGCCAGGAAGGAAAAAGAAAAATCAGGATCAAAGTCAGCTGGGAGAAGATGCATTAGAGGCCAGAACTTCAGTCAAGCCTGGAAACACAGGCAATGGTGGCTGCAGAGACCCGCTGGAGCAGGTAGCTTCCTCAGCCTCCAAGTTGGAAGCAAGCCCAGGGAACATGCGGGTTCCCCTGAAACCTCACCACCTTTCCCTTCCTCATCTACTCAAGCCTGTCCTTCAAGGCCCAATTCAAACTGGTCCTTAGCAGGGTGACCCCTGCCTTTGAACTTCTAAAGAGCCTGCAGAAGCAACAGACTCCTTTTCCAGGTGAAGAATCAGGGGATCCAGAGAGGCAGAGCAACCCTCTTAAGGTCACACAGCTACTAAGAGCAGAGCCAGGGCCAGGCATAGGTCTCCTGCTTCAGGTCTGCTTTGCCACTTCCTGGGCTGTGTGACCACAGGCAAGTCCCTCATCCTCGCTAAGTCTCAGTTCCTTCTCTCGGCGCCCACTTCCCAGTGCTGATGTGAGAAAGAAATAAGATGACATGTAGAAGTAGATCCAGCACCTTCTGGGCTCAACAAAGTGAATCCTGTTTCTTTTACTACAGGACTTTTCAGAGCCTTAATGTGCTCTGTGACTCCCCAAAAGGCAGACCAAGGGCACAGACATTTAAAAAAAAATTTAAATTATTTTTTGAGACGGGGTTTCACTCTTGTTGCCCAAGCTGGAGTGCAATGGCCCGATCTCGGCTCACCACAACCTCCGCCTCCCAGGTTCAAGCGATTCTCCTGCCTCAGCCTCCCAAGTAGCTGGGATTACAGACACCTGCCACCACACCTGGCTAATTTTTTGTATTTTTAGTAGAGATGGGGTTTCACCATGTTGGCCAGGCTGGTTTTGAACTCCTGACCTCAGCTGATTCCCCCATCTCGGCCTCCCAAAGTGCAGGGATTACAGGCATGAGTCACCCGGCCAGCACATTTTTAGAACACATATTATCTTCCAGGGCACCATGGAATTGTCCAAAGGCATTAGGGGACCCTGCCTCTTGCCCACTGACTCCTTCACTGGCTATGATATACCTGTAGCACATGTATTGATGTCTCCACTATAGCCATGCTGCACCTCACCTATTCTCCAAACAGACCCTACATTTTCTTTAGGTCTTTCTACCTTTCCATTGGACCCTGGAGCTACAGGCCTGGACTCTGTGACTTGGTTTTCCTGATGAGATATGAGGGGTATTGGAGACTTCTGGGAAAGGTACCCTAGTCTCTAGGAGAGACACAGGAAGACCCGGTCTGGACTATCTCCTGGCACTGTCATGTCTGGAAGCCATAGTAGAAACAGCTCCTGCTGCAGCCCCTACTGCAGCCTCAAAGGAAGTAGCCTGACCACAAAGTGAGGCCCCAAGAGACAGGAAAGATACATTCTGGATGATAGCTCAACCAAGCCTAGACTGCCCTACCTTACACTGCCTTGTCATGCAAGGGAACAGATTTCCTTACTACTTAGGCCACTCAGTTCAACAACAGCCTATCTGATTCAACAACAAACACATTTTAACTCCAGTACCATCTGCAGTGTCCTACCTAATTTCTCATGTGATTAGGACATGTGTCCTTGCTGAAGTTCCTGTGTACCCCAACCCAGCACCTCCCACTCTGTCCTTACTTGTTTAATGGTCTTCCTCATGATCGTTTGAAGGCAAGGCCTGGGTATCCAGCTCACCCTGTTTCCCTGGTGTCTAGCATAGGATCTGGTGCTAGTAAATCGCTTAATAAATATTTGCTGAATGAATAAATAATGAACACATGAATGGAGGCTTTGCCTCTTTGCAATCTGCAGCCCCTGGGCTACCCAGCACAATGAGTCTCTCTGCATGGCAGCCCAGAGGGCCCCAGGAGCAAGGGCACAGCGCTCCAGAAACCTGGCCACCTCAATGCCAGCCACTCTGCTGACCCTGACAGCTGGGACCAGCCCCTTGGCAAATGCTCATAGGTGACTTACGACCTACGTGGGGTGAGATGAGACCTTACAATACCATGGGCCCTGGGTAAAACCACAGATCAAGGTGAAAGGCCATGTCCAGAGATGGCTAACTTCCGTGGGGAACTTACCAATCAGGCTCCCTGGATTGGAGCAGGGGGCCAGCCTTCTACCAGCCTGGAGGACCCCTTGTCTGCTCCTTGCACACCGCTAGAGCTACAGAGGGTCATGCTGGCCTGGAAAGCGGCCACTGGTCCAGGATAACATCTTTGGCCTGGGATCTGGGGATGTCGCAATGATGCAGGATAACACCTCTAGTCTGGGATCTGGGGGTGTTGCGATGTGTATGACTAAGCAGTTTGCAAGTGCTTCCTGTCCAGCCAGCCAGATGGCTTTGTAGTTGCCCTGCGTCGGTTCCCCAAGCCCTCAGCCAGCCAAGCTTTTAACAGTGAACGGCCCTAGGGAGGGGTAACAACACAGGGCCCTAACTGAAGAAGCACCTGACATTTTCACCACTGGGGCTCCTACCACAAGAATGAGGCTGACTGGTCTCCTCCCTCTCTGAACCTCACAATCCCCATCCACGTGATGGTGAAAGAGCAACCTGTACTTGTCCAGAGGTCCCCTGATTTCTAGCTTCCATGCAGAACTCGGGGGGACTAGAATACATCTTATTTTGCAGTTTTCCACTTGGATGTTGTACTCTTTACCAATACATCCGACTCTCTGTCCCTCTGATGGGTCATCATTCCAAAGCTGAGTGAACTCTTTTTTTTTTTTTTTTCTTGAGACAGGTTCTTACTGTGTCACCCAGGCTGGAGTACAGTGGCATGATAACAGCTCACTGCAGCCTTGACCTCCTGGGCTTAAGTGATCTTACCGCCTCAGCCTCCAGAATAGCTGGAACTATAGGCGTGTGCCAGCACACACAGCTAATTTTTGTATTTCTTGTAGATATGGGGCTTCACCATGTTGCCCAGGCTGTTCTCGAACTCCTGGGCTCAAGTGATCCACCTGCCTTGGCCTCCCAAAGTGCTGGGACTATAGGCATGAGCTGCCGCACCCGGCCCTGCTCTTTTCAAAACATAAAACATGCTGGCCTTGTCGGTTCATGGGACCCTTTGCTGTACTCACTATGGCCTCGGGACCACTGTCCCTGTTGCTCACTCTGCTTGGGAACCTCTCCTTCCCTCCTTTGCAGAACTGACCCCTCCTCACCCTTTAGCTCTCGGTGCCATGTCATGTTCTCAGAGGAGCCTTCCTGCCTGGGGTGAAGCCCTACCAAAGGCTCAGAATTCTGTGCACCTCCAGCTTGTAGTATTTGTTATATCTGTGATTTGGTGTTGCTTGTTTGATGAGTTGATTAATGCAAACTCCACGTGGGCAGGGGCCATGTCTGTTTCACTCCCCACTATATCCTCAGAACCTAATTAATCCAGAGCCTAGAATGCTGTAAGTATTAGACAAATATTTGTTGAATAAATGAATAAATCATGAACGGACTTTTCAATGCCAAAAAAGTAGGAAGGACATAAACTAAAAATAAATAGAAAGGCCTTAAAGTGGAATATGTTCACCTTCTGAAAAGCTCACTCAAAGTCCTTAATTTTCTCATTTTGTCACAGCCTGGGGAAAATCAGGTCAAAGAGTGGTTTCTGGGAAGCACTGTCCGCCAGTGATTTGATGGTTAACACATTAAAGATATAAGAAGAAGGGAAGCGGGGAGAGTTTTGGCCCTTCTGGCCTTTTGCTATCAACAAGGGGGATTCACTAACAGCCTCCCTGCACAGAGTCAGAACCTGAAGACCGATCATTAGAGAACCTGCTTCTAACCACTGGGGGTGCACAGGTCTAGGGTTGTGAAGGGATCCCTGTGCTGATACTCCATGTCCAGTTCTGCGAAGATGGAGCCCTTGGTTTCCCTGTGTCCTCTCTGCACTTCCAGAGTTGGGGTATCGGAACCGCATGGCCCACTGCACTCACCTCTTGCCCTTGTGCACCCGGCTCAGGTCTACTGAGTCCCTGCTGAACACATCAAACTCGTCATTCTGGAAGACGTTGTGGCGAGACGTCAGCAGGGGTGTAGGGTCTGGTTTCATTTCTCTGGGTGGGGGACACAGAGATCAATTTAAGGGGGCCCTGCCAGCTGAAGCAACGTGCACCCCACGCCTCCCTGCTGTGTTAAATCCATCGGATTTTTCAGTCCCCTTCAACAGACACTCCTAGGACACAATCTCAAACCTTGAAGAGGGAGATAAGCCTCCGCCTGACCTGGCCCCTGCCTGGGTATGCAGCCACACCTCGAACAAAGCTCTCCTCCATACACTGCATGCCATTCACACAGCGTTTCCTTCTGTTTCTTAAAAGCGCTATCCCTCATTTAATGCTTGTAATAGTCCCATGAGATCAATAGTCACAGATCACTCAACGTCATTGTGCCTCAGTGCCCTCATCTGTAAAATGTGGCACAAGGAGGCTGAGGAACTTGTCCAAAGGCACAAAGCTAACTTCACTCATTCATTTGGTAAACATCACTTGCTTATGGAAGACACACCCTTTCGGGCACTGGTTCCTGCTGTCCCATGGGGCCTTCAGGGCAGCAGTGGGCCAAACAAATGGTAGATGTGATGAAAGTGAGAAGCTGTGGCCATCCTCTCTCACAAATCTAGTGGGAACGTGGTAATGACAGGGGCAGGTCAGGAATGTAGGGGATCAGAAGGGCTCAACAACTCTGTGTCACATCCCTAAAGACACAACCATGGCTCTAATCAACCTTCCCACAAAGTGTGGCAGGGATGTGTATACTCTGCCCTGCCTGGGGCAAGTGAAAAACTCCTGTGGGGCCTAAGGTTTTTATGTTTCCCCAAAGAGGGCTTTAGTTTAAATGGCTGGGAAGAGAGAACAAGCTGAGTCCTGGGCCACAAATGAGGGAAGGAAGAGAGGAAGGGGCCCCATCCTGAGGCAGCCTGGGCAGCGGGAGCCTCCTCCCACCTGTCTCTCCCACCTGTCTAGGTTGCGGTCCAGCTGGCTGAGGGTGGGGGCCAGCCGCTCCTCCAGGATATTGTTGATCACCTGCTCTGGGTCGTAGTGGTAGTACTCCAGGCAGGCCAGGATGAAGCCCTCACCAAGGTCTGGCAGCAGGTCCTTCACTTGGGAGATGAGTGAGTCCAGCTCCACCCCACACACAGCAGGGCCCACAGCCGCGGCTGCTCCCATGCACTGTAGTGAGAGCCAGAGCCAAGAAGGGGAAGGCTAAGTGGGCCGGTGATAGGGTCACAGGCCCCAAATAGCACTGGACTAGGCATGAGGGATCTGGTTCAAGTCCTGGAACTGCCCCTCCTGCCTGTGAGAACTTCGCCAAGTGACTCAAGTCTCTCTGAGCCTCCATTTCTTTCTCTGTGAAAAAGGGGGCTCGTGATTGTTATGATTATTGCATGCCTGTATCAAAATATCTCATGTGACCTATAAATATATACACCTACTACATATCCAGGAAAATAAACAAAAAATAAAAAAAATTTAAGGCCAGGTACAGTCGCTCATACCTGTAATCCCAGCACTTTGGGAGGCTGAGGCAAGAGAATTATTTGAGCTCAGGAGCTAGATCAGCCTGAGCAACAGAGCAAGACCCTATCAGTTCAAAAAATTTTAAAAAGTAGCCAGGTGGCTGGGCGTAGTGGCTCATGCCTGTAATCCTAGCACTTTGGGAGGCCGAGACAGGTAGATTGCCTGAGTTCAGGAGTTCAAGACCAGCCTGGGTAACACAGTGAAACCCTGTCTCTACTAAAAAAATTAGCCAGGCATGGCGGCGTGCGCCTTTGGTCCCAGCTACTTAGGAGGCTGAGGTGGGAGGATCACTTGATCCCAGGAGGTCAAGGCTGCAGTAAGCTTGATCAAGCCACTGCACTCCAGCTTGGGTGACAGAGCAAGAACCTGTCTCAAAAAATAAAAAATAAAATAAATTAGGCCGGGCGTGGTGCTCATGTCTATAATCCCAGCACTTTAGGAAGCTGAGCCAGGCGGATCATCTGAGGTCAGGAGTTTGAGACCAGCCTGTCCAACATGGTGAAACCCCATCTCTACTAAAAAAATACAAAAAATTAGCTGGGTGTGGTGGTGGGTGTCTATAATCCCAGTTACTCAGGAGGCTGAGGCAGGAGAATTGCTTGATCCCAGAAGGCGGAGGTTACAGTGAGCAGAGATCGCACTATTGCACTCCAGCCTGGGCAACAAGAGTAAAAATCTCAAAACAAAACAAAACAAAACAAAAACAAACCAACCAAATAAATAAATTAAATTAAATTAAAATTTTGAAGGGACTGTATGACTTACCAGCTGGGCTACTGGCTGTGTGACTTTGGGCAGGGTGCTTCCCCTCTCTGAACCTCAGTTTCCTCCTCATAAAATGGGCCTATACCACCCACCTCATGGGGTTGTTTCAAATAGTTCAAAGATGGCACAAAACCCAGTGAGCACAGTACCTGGCATAGACCAGGCCCTCCATAAACAGCCCTGGTTTCTACCGATTCTTTCTACTAATCCAAGGTCCTTTTCCAACTCTAACAAGTTGACTGACGTTGGAGGCGAACAGCAACCACCAGAGCTGGACTGTGTGGAGATGCTCCCCTTTAATTATAAAATTATAATCTCCTTTTTTTTTTTTGAGACGGAGTCTCGCTCTGTCACCCAGGCTGGAGTGCAGTGGCACGATCTCAGCTCGCTGCAAGCTCCGCCTCCCGGGTTCACGCCATTCTCCTGCCTCAGCCTCCCGAGTAGCTGGGACTACAGGCGCACACTACCGCAACTGGCTAATTTTTTGTATTTTTAGTAGAGACAGGGTTTCACCGTGGTCTCGATCTTCTGACCTCGTGATCCGCCCGCCTCGGCCTCCCAAAGTGCTGGGATTACAGGTGTGAGCCACCGTGCCCGGCCTATAATCTCCTTTTTAAGGGGCAAGCATTTTATATATTGCTCAATATTACTTAATTGTGTTAGCCTTTTAATTTAAGGACATTTACAGATCACAACAATACAAATCTCCATGAGTCTGCTAAGCAGCGAAATGGGGAAGAGGGTGGGAAAAGGTGAAGGAGGCTATTGTTTTCCAAGGCCCTGCAGGAATCACAGAGCCTGGGGTCTGGGAGGAAGGACAGCGGCATTTGTTAATGGAGCACTGAAGGCCAGCCAGGCTCAGGGTGAGCCTGGGCATGTGATAGCTCTCGGAATCCCAGCACCTCGTGGAGGTGGCCACTGCATCTGTCCCTACCTTACAGATGAGGAACCAAGGTTCAATGTGAGTGATGCGCCTAAGACCATACAGCTGCCACGTGGCAGAACCAGGTCACACCCCTGAGCTGCCTGGTTTGAGTCTGTGTGGTCTTCACCACTCTTATGCTGCCTCCCAACATGCAGGGGAGTCCTGGCCTTGGTGGCCAATCAAGACAGCCACAGATTTGGCCAGTCCTGGTAAAGCCTGGAGAGAAGGCACCAGATCCGAGGTTTCTACATTTGTTCAGTGGCATCCTGGAGCCCCACTGAGGGGCTTCCGAGAAGGCCAAACCATGGGACTTGGCACTGTTCCCAGTTGCAACCAAAGGAGCTCCACTTTTATCTGTTGAGAGGAGAGCTCTGGGAAGGGCTCGTGGAAACATTTACACAAAGTTTCGCCCCTTCATTTTATAGAGGGGAAGCTGAGGTTTCGATAGTTGAAGCAACCTGCTCTCTCCTCACACCCAGTCCAGCATGCCCCTGGCTTGGGACCCTCTAAAGGCAGCACAGAGCTGACCAGTTGCTTGAGGCTGTCTATTCCCAAAAAACCTTTTTCCCTGAGTATAAAAGCAAAGAAGGGAGGTTTCCTGCTGCCCCAGTCTCTCAGATGGGGCCAAGGAGGGACAAGCGCAGAGGGAAAAGTGCCACCCAGACACATACCTCCTCTTCCTCCGAGTTCTCCGGGTGTGATGACGCTTGACTGACTGCCTCTGCCATCACCGTGACCCCATTAGGCTCCTCAGTCACTGATGGATCTTTAGCATCTGTGGCTTTCCGTCTGTCCACCCCTTCCCATGCACTCTCGACTGCCTGGAGGATGTAGGCAGTCCGCGTCTCATCCCTGTGAGGACTTGTTAAAGGGTCTGTCTTAGGTTCCTAGCTCTGAAGCAGCCCAATTTCTCAGTCCCTCCCCAGCATCTGACCACATGGTTCCTGCCAGGGGCTTTCTGGGCTATACCTAAGCGGGCATCACGGGCACCTGGGCTGCATGGGAAAATGGGCCAGACTACAGCCATGCTGGCTTCACAACCTAGGGCCTGCCACTCAGCAGAAAGCAGCTCTGAGTAAAGACAGGGCCAGGGCTGCCATCAGTGTCCTGGGGCACAGGTTTGGACGAGCCAGCAGCTCTTCTTTTGTACTGACTGCCAGGAGGAGGGCGTGGTAGGGCCACTGCCACTGGGCTTCCTGTCCAACTAGCTGAGGGCATTCTGCAAAGGTTGTGGGCCATCAGGTTTCCCTGAAGCAGGACTGAGCAATCTCCTGCAACCACTAGAATGACCCATAGGCTGCCCCTCCCCGTCCTTCCTCCTTGTCAACCACCCTGGGCACTGTGAAGCCTGAAATCTGAGAGTTCCCTTAGACTTCCTCACTCTGCTTCTTGTCCAAACCCTCATCACCCATGCTTGGATGCCAGCAACAGCCTCCTCACTGGCCTGAGCCTCATGGTGGTTCTGGGCCAGTCCATTCTCTTCCCTGTGCCAGACAGAGCTTTTCCAAAGTATAGAACTGCCCATGTCACCTCCTGCTTCACAACCTTCCACGCTCCCCAGCGCTTGCAGGACAGAGCCCAAACTTCTTAGTGATGGTCACCCCAGGGCTGTGCACATTGCTGGCCTTCACCTCACCTGCAACACCCCAATTCCTCCTCCTGGGAGACCCCTCCTTAATGACTGCTCCCTGTACTCTATACATGACGTCTGTGGCTCCAAGGAGCCTGTTTCTCTGTCCACTGGGAACATTCTTGTCCTTGTCCTTGCTCCTAGCTTGGTGCTCTCCCACTCTTTCTGCTGTTCTTCTGCTTGGACATCACTTCCATCTGACACCCCCACCTGGAGCTCCGCTGGGTGAGGCACCTCCTCTGGTTTCCTGCCCTCTGAAATCTTCCCACGTGACGCTCTAACTGCCTGTTTACTTGTCCACCTCCCCTCCTGCTGTGAGGAGGGGCTGAGTCCATCTTGGTCATATAGCCCCAGATGTTCAGGAAACACATAGGGAAATTAGGACTGCATCCCCCCTGCCTCAAGCATCAGAGCAGCCATCTTCTCTAGAAAAGGCGAGGCTGGGAGGCTGGGCGTGGAGGCTCATGCCTGTAATCCCAGCACTTTGGGAGGCTGAGGCGGGCAGATCACGAGGTCAGGAGATACAGACCATACTGGCTAACACGGTGAAACCCCGTCTCTACTAAAAAAAATACAAAAAAATTAGCCCCCATCTCTACTAAAAAAATACAAAAAAATACAAAAAAATACAGGCGGGCGCCTGTAGTCCCAGCTACTTGGGAGGCTGAGGCAGGAGAATGGTGTGAACCTGGGAGACGGAGCTTGCAGTGAGCCAAAATTGCGCCACTGCACGCCAGCCTGGGCAACAGAGAGAGACTCTGTCTCAAAAAATAAAATTAAAAAAAAAAAAAAAAAAAAAGGCTGGGCACGCTGGCTCATGCCTGCAATTCCAGCACTTTGGGAGGCCGAGGGGGGCAGATCATGAGGTCAGGAGATCGAGACCGTCTTGGCTAACATGGTGAAACCCGGTCTCTACTAAAAATACAAAAAATTAGCCGGGTGTGGTGGCGGGTGGCTGTAGTCCCAGCTACTTGGGAGGCTGAGGCAGGAGAATGGTGTGAACTCTCAGTGAGCCAAGATCGCGCTACTGTACTCCAGCCTGGGCGACAGAGCGAGACTCCATCTCAAAAAAAAAAAAAAAAAAAAAAAAAGAAAGAAAGAAAAAACAGAAAAGGCGAGGCTGGGACCTTGGCAGGCCACCTCGGACAGCTGGCTGACCCACGCGTGGGTTCTGGGGCTAAACCTCTTTCCACTCCTCTGGGTTCCAGCAGCCTGTCTCACTTCTGACCTAGTCAAGCTGGGCCCTGTCGCAGTAGGCTATGGTAGAAGGATACAAGACTGACGAGGCCTGCTGCAGCAAGCTGATGTCTTCGGCCACGGGGAAGAGTGCATCATAGTCCCGGAGGAACCTGCAGGCAGAGGAGAGCAGATGGGATGGACCGGGCTGGGGCCACAGGAACACTGTGCTGCTGCAGGCCACTCCCTGTGTCTACTGCCCGACCTTATTAGAGCTGTGGTGGGCCTATGGCGGGGGCTCTATCATGTAAGGCCTCTTGGGGACTGGTGGGAGGGTCATAGGCCTGGCCCAGCTCAGCCGCACTCACCTCTTCTCCTGCAGCAAGGAGCTGAAGATCTGAAGGAACTCTTCGATGAAGCCTTGAATGTTGTCACAGCTAGAACAGGACACCAGGGAAGATAAGCTCATGCAATGCAAGATGAGCTACAGCTCCTTTATACACCCCCTGCCCCTCTTCAGGGCTGAGGCCCAATGGACGAATGAGGCATTTTTCTCAGTTTCTCATCTCTGTTCAGCCAACCCCAGTGCAGGGGAGGAAGCCAAGACGAAAGAATGGAAATGCTCCTGCAGGGCCTGGGGAGGAGACTCTTCCACCAGGAGGCAATTCCTGAGGGTTTACCTGCTTTCTAGGATGGGAAGGAGGCAGATCTGATTCAGGATGATGTGGAAAATCTCTATCAGCTTCTTCCTGGAATGGGAGAGCCTCTGCCACAGGTCACCTAGAAGCCTAGGCCAGAGAGAAAAAAGACACAGGTTTAGGAGACAAAAAGGGCCTGAGGTGTCAGGCGCAATGGTTTACACCTGAAATACCAGCACCTTGGGAAGCTGAGGTGGGAGGATCACTTGAGCCCCAGGAGTTTGAGATCAGCCTAAGTAACTAAGTGAAATCCTGTCTCTACAAAAAACACAAAAAATTAGTCAAGTGTGGTGATGCAGGCCTGTAGTTCCAGCTCCTGGGGAGGCTAAGGGGGATCGCGTTTGCCTGGGAGGTCAAGGCTGCAGTGAGCCATGATGGCGCCACCGCCTTCCAGCCTGGGTGACAGAGCAAGACTCTGTCTCAAAAAAAAAAAAAAAAAAAAGGAAAAGAAAAAGAAAAAAAGGCACGAAGGGAGCTTCTCCCCAGCAGTTGCAGGTGCCTCCCTGGAGCACAGAAGGCCTCACAATTCACTGCTGAGAGCAGCTGGCAAAAGCCACAGGCCCAGAGAAGCCAGCTGCTTCCAGGGCTGCTTCTCAGTTCAAATAGTGGGTCAGGAACCAGCAGGCTGAGTATCAACAATGTGAGTAACAGCTGAGGGAAGGGCTTAAATGCAGTGGCCAGCCATCATGGTATTTTGGGGGATTGGGTTAACAGACATAACTGCCTTGGGACAAGCAGGACTTTGGGTCAAATCTCCTTCATGCTGTTTAGTAACACTTAACTCTAGCTGTTGGGATCTTTCTAGTTAGGTCCTCACACAAGTCTTTACAGACAACACACACACACACATATATATATTTTAATATGCTAAGAGTTAAAAAAAAAAAAAAAAAGCAGTTCAAGACTAGCCTGGCCAATACGTCAAACCCCCATCTCTACAAAAAATACAAAAATTAGCCGGGTGTGGTGGCACACACCTATAATCCCAGCTACTGGGGGGACTGAGGTGGGAGGACTGATTGACGTCAGGAGGTCAAGGCTACAGTGAGTTGTGACTGTACCACTGCACTCCAGCCTGGGTGACAGAGTGAGACCCTGTCTCAAACAATAACAACAACAACAACAACAACAACAAACCAATGCAGAGGTCAGGAAGTGGCTAGACAGGGATGCAGAAGCCCAAAAGCTGCACAGTCCCTGGTCCCACCCACTTGTCTTAGAGATGGGGATGCTAATGCCTAGGGAAGGCAGGGCCCTGCTCGGGGCTTTCTCTCCCACAACAACATTCTTAATTTTGTCCCCGCCTCACTTGCTATCTTCAAGCCTCCTCTTCTTAATTGCAGACTCCATTTCGGGAATTGCTGCTTCGTAGAAGGAAGCTAGTCTGTGCAGGCACACACAGGGAAAATGTTGGATTAGTTCATAAATACCACACTTCGTAAGAACATCAAAGCAAACCCCAGGGAGTGGGAAGGTCCATTTCTTCTTTTTCCACACAATTTTCTCCAGGGACCCCTTGGTTCTTCCCTGAGCTCACCCCAGACTGACCCCCTGGGGCTGGTCCCAGGAATAGCTTCATAAGAAGTGACCTATAGCCATGTCCCTCATTCAGACGGGCAACTAAGGCCCAGATAGGCTCATACTAACAGAGGAATCAGAAGACCACTCAGGACCCACTGAAGTTTGAGAAGCAGATCGAAGATTACTTGCTTGTAATTTTCTTGCTCAAACACTGTCAGTTAGCCAGGCACAGTGGCTCAGGCCTGTAATCCCAGCACTTTGTGCGGCTGAGGCAGGAGGATTGCTTGAGCCAGGAGCTCAAGATCAGCCTGGGAAACAGGCTGGTGAAACTCCATCTCTATAAAAAATACAAAAATTAGCCAGGCATGGTGGTGCACACCTGTAGCCCCAGCTACTTGGGAGGCTGAGGCAGTAGGCCGGTAGGTTACGGCTACAGTGAGCCATGATCACACCACTGCATTCCAGCCTGGATGACAGAGAGAGACCCTGTCACACACACACAAAAAAAATTGTTCTGGCTGGGTGTGGTGGCTCACGCCTGTAATCCTAGCACTTTGGGAGACCAAGCTGGGTGGATAACTTGAGGACAGGAGTTTGAGAACAGCCTGGCCAACATGGTGAAACCTGGTCTGTACTAAAAATACAAAAATTAGCCGGGAGTGGTGATACATGCCTGTAATCCCAGCTACTCAGGAGGCTGAGGCAGGAGAATTGCTTGAACCCGGGAGGTGGAGGTTGCAGTGAGCCAAGATCGCACTACTGAACTCTAGCCTGGGCAACAGAGTGAGACTCTGTCTCAAAAAAAAAAAAAAAATTGTTTTAATATGAAAATCTTAACACAGTATTTGTATTTGGTCAAAATAGGCTAAATGTTCTCAGGATTTTTTCCAATCCCACTGGAAATGAGAAAAAATATATTAAAATAAAAAGTAATAATTAAAAATTTTAAGAAAAAAGTAAATGTATCATATTTTCTACATTGGCTTATGAGTTAAGCCAGTTAGCACTGTTTCTATAACTTTTAAATTAACTAATTAATTTTTTTTTTTTTTTGAGATGAAGTCTAGTTATATTGCGCAGGCTGGTTTTGACCTCCTGGGTTCAAGCGATCCTCCTGCCTCAGCCTCCCAAGAAGCTGAGATTACAGGTACCTGGCTTAAAACTTTTATAAAATTAAGGCTGTGCATGGTGGCTTCTGCCTGTAATCCCAGCACTTTGGGAGGCTGAGGTGGGCAGATCACTTGAGGTCAGGAGTTTGAGACCAGCCTGGCCAACATGGGAAACCCTGTCTCCACTAAAAATATGAACAATAGCTAGGCATGGGGGCGGGCACCTGTAATTCCAGCTACTTGGGAGGCTGAGGAGGGAGAATCACTTGAATCTGGGAGGTGGAGGTTGCAGTGAGCCGAAATCATGACACTGCACCCTAGCCTGGAAGACAGAATGAGACTCTGTCTCAAAAAATAAAAAAAAATGTAAATTAAAAATAATTTCTATAAAATTATTTTCAAACAAATATAATTATACTAATAAAAAAAAAAAAGAAAAACACCTGCTAGCAGTTCCCTACCTCTTATGACAGCAAACCATAATTATTTTCTCTGGTACATCCATATCTGTCACAGTACAGCCAATCTTGCTTCTCACCTTGGTGATTTCACACCACCCTTTCCCAACTCAAATTCAAACTCTCCATCCCAGTCGCCCGGCCCCTCAACATTCTTCCAGAGATCAGCACTCCCACAGCCCTCTGGCTTCCTCTCAGGCTAATGCTGGCCACTGCTCTCCTCTTCTTTCTCCTTATTCTCCTCCTCCTCCTCCACGCAGCATTCCAGGCTCACCTCCTCCCTGTGCACTTCCTGATCACGCTCACTCATGGGAATTCTTCCTTTCCAGAACTAGATGCACTGCATGTGGAATATATTGCCCTGTTGCTCTGGCAAGTGAAACTGAAGCTGCCTCTTTTCTGTGGTATAATTCTTCCCCCAAACATCTTAAGCTTCCCAAAGCCGGAACTGCAGCTTAAGTGTCTAGGTTGGTGCTGAATTTGGAGCAAGTCCTCTGTAAACATGTGCCTGTCAATTGGCTGGTTTCTGGCAACGTCTATCCTACTACAATGCTATACACAACAAAGGGTAACTAGGCCAAAAGAGGCGGGTCCCACTAGGCCCACAGCATAGCCCAGAAAATGAAAGAGAGGGCAGTTTGGCCTAAACAGGTTTAGCTGTTGCCAGGATATGTTGCTGGTGGGAGAGTAAATTGGAACAACCCCTATGGAGGGCGATTTGGCAAGATCTATGGAAATTAAAAATGCACATTCCATCTGTCTCTGCTAGTCTACTTCTAGGAATTATTCCTCAGATATACTCGCAGAGGTACCAAAGGATATGTGTGCAAAGTTATTCTTGGTTTTTTTTTTAATGAGACAGAGTCTCACTCTGTCGCCTAGGCTGGAGGGCAGTGGTGCAATCCCTGCTCACTGCAACCTCTGCCTCTTGGGTTCAAGCAATTCTCCTACCTCAGCCTCCCGAATAGCTGGAATTACAGGCGTGTGCTACCACATCCAGCTAATTTTTGTATTTTTAGTAGAGGTGGGGTTTCACCATGCTGGCCAGGCTGGTCTTGAACTCCTGACCCCAAGTGGTCTGCCTGCCTCAGCCTCCCAGAGTGCTGGAATTACGGCCATGAGCCACTGTGCCTGGCTTCTGTAGTATTTTTTTGTATAGCAAGCAACTGAAAAAAACCTAAAGGACCATCAGTGGGATCTGGTATTCCATACAGTGGAATTCTACCCAGCCATACCAAAGACATCAGAGAAAGAGTGCTTAATGCACGGATACGGCACCACTGTTAAGTAAAAAAGTAAAATGCAAACAGTAAATACTCATAATATGCAAGCCTTAAATTTTCCAAAAGGAGGGAGACATATAATGTGCATGGTTGCTCATATGTGCATAATATACTTGCATATCTCTGGAAAATTTCACCAAAAAAACCTAATGGCGATGGCTGTATGTGAATAATAGAATTGGGAAAGTGGAAAGGGAGACTTCTCAGTGTGTATTTTATACTTTTTGAGTTTTGAACCATGTGAATATATTATTTATTCTTAAAAGGGCAGAAAGAGGTATACTCAGCTATACTTGAGTAGATGGGAGAGGAAGGAGGAAAAAGGTTATTTTGAGAGGGATTATCAACAAAGCCGACTGGGCAACTGTAACCACTTTCAGAGAGTTCTGGAGAACTGAGGTGGCTGCATTTGCTCAGGAGGGCGTTCCTGGCCTCCAGCACGGTTGGAACAGGCTGGGTCAGCCCCAGGGTGTTTGTGGGTCAAAGGCAGTGTTGCCTTTAGTCAAAAGTGTTTCCCTTTCTTCCTCCTCACCCTGAGATGGGCATAGCTTCTCTCCTGCCTCTGCTGTCCCTTGCAGTAAAGTCGGCTCTTCCAAAACTTACCCCTTCCCCATCTCCAAAGAGCCTTTCAAAAGCAATCTGTGCCACATTTGGGGAAACACTTTAACAAAATGGGAAAATGCCTACGATAAGCGAAAATACGCAAGGTACAAAATTCTAAGAATAATACGATTTCTTATGGTGCTTTTAATTTCCTACTTTTCTGGATTTGCCAAATGTCCTACAAGCACATGCTGCTTTTATCATGAGAAAAGATACCTTTTTAAAAAAGTGGACAGCTACATACCCCTCTCTGCTGGGGAAAATGCTGGGCAGCACGTTATCCTAACATTCTCTGGGAGGCTCAGTAACCCTAATGTCTGATTTTTATAAGCTGAGGTGACCAGGGAGGGGTCACAGCACCAGCTGCCATCTCTGGCACATGTAAGGACTAAATAAATGTTTTGTTAAATGGGTGAGTAAATGACAGAATGGACAGGCAGCTGAATGGACGGAGTTGGGCAGCTCCCAGAAGCTGCTACAAACGGTGGGGAGAGACGTCTTGCTAGAGTGACAGTCAGAGGCCACGGGGAAGAGGCCTGTGCCCACAACTGCGAGGCAACACGCAGGTTGCCAGCCCTTTCACCCTGGCCTGGAACGCCCATGTCCACCCCTTTCTTACTGCACTAGCAACAGATGCGCTAAGAGGGCAAAGTGGGTCTGCCTCCCTCGCTCATATTCTCTTTCCCATCTGCCTCCATCCCACCAGGATCTTTCTAAAGGCTCCTTTGGATAAAAGCCTCCAGGGGCTCCCCACTGCCTACAGCATAAAGGCCCTACCAGCACATCCCAGGCTCCTCACAATCTGACTTCTACTGACTTACCCAAAGTGGGCTCCTGTTACTGGCTTGTTTTCCTGCTGTCCTGTGTGTCCCCCCACTCTGCCTCATGTCACATTTCACTCCCCAGCTCTCTCTCTGGGCCTCTGCATGCTTCACTTCACCTGCCTAAGTGCCCTTCCTGCTATGGGAACTTTTCTTTGTCTGGAAGATACCTGTTTCTTCAAGACATCCTTCAAGGGTGATCTCCCAGCCCCACGTTGGAGCACTCTGTTGTTTCCTTGTGTGTGTTCCCCTCGGGCTACTCTATTGAACTGAAACTATTCTTGGTTGTGTGGTTTTTTTTTCTTTTTCTTTTTTTTAGATGGAGTCTTGCTCTGTCGCCCAGGGTGGAGTATAGTGGCGCAATCTCAGCTCACTGCAACCTCTGCTGCGCGGGTTCAACTGATTCTCCTGTCTCAGCCTCCTGAGTAGCTGGGACTACAGGTGCATGCTGCCATGCCCAGCTAATTTTTGTATTTTTAGTAGAGACGGGGTTTCACCATATTGGTCAGGCTGGTCTTGAACTGCTGACCTCAGGTGATCCACCCACCTCGGCCTCCCAAAGTACTGGGATTACGCATGAGCCACCATGCCCGGCTCACTGTGTGTGTGTGTGTGTGTGTGTGTGTGTGTGTGTGTGTATTTTTTCCCCTACCCTATCCTGGTCTTGGCCAAAAAATGGGAGTGCTTCTAAAACGCAGGCTCCACACAAGCAGGAGGCTTATCTGTTGTTTTCACTGCTGCATCCCCAGGCTGGAAGACTGGCACATTCTAAGCACCCAGTAAATATTTGTTAAATAAGTAAATATTTGTTAAATTAGTACATAAGCCAGTACCTCTATTTCAACAGCCAGAACTACTGCCATACCTGTAACAAAAGTCATGCTTCTGGAAGGTCTGGCAAGCCAAAGGGAAGATATCCAGAAAGGCCCAAAGTGTGGTGCAGGTATCACAAAGGTAGAGAACAATGTCCTTTAACTCCTGTTGCCAAAAGAATACACTGCATTATTCTCCTCTGCCCGCACATACAGATCTGCAGAGTGTCTGAGACAACTTTAACACGGTCAGGGTCCCAAACAGGCAGGATGCTAACATGGGAGGAAGGGAACACTGGAGGTTCCGGGCAAAGCCTGGCTGGCTGGTCCATCTTCAGGAGCACGATCTGGGTGAGTCACCTAACCTCTCTAAGCCTCAGGTCTTTCTATGATAGCTCCAATGGCCTTACACCCAAGCATCGCTAGGGTTACTTCCAGTTCTGAGATAATATGATTCCCTCTTCTAAGTTAAAGGAAAACCAACTCTTGAATCTGAACACATCATGCAAAGAAGGAACATCCGAGGCAGGACAAGACTATCAAGTCCATAGGTTTTTCACATCTTGAAGAGGGTATACAAAACACTTTCTTCTAAGTTTCCTACACACTTTCCTGGTTCTTATGACAACTCTGAAAAGTAGGCTGGGAAGCTGTTGAGGATCTCTATTTTACCGATAAGGAAACTGAGGTTCCGAGGGGTAAAATGATTTGTTCCCACAGCACCTGCCACGTGCCCTTCTGAAATGTGATCACAATCTCCAGGAGGATAGCTCATAGCTGCCTTGTTCCTGTTCTATCTCCAGGGCTTAGGGCAGCACCTGACACGTCGAGGCTTCCTGAATGTTTGCCTTCTGTCACCCTTGTCAACTCTAAATTCCATGAGCGCAGGGGCCAGTTTGCTTTTGTTTACTGCCTTACCTCCAGACATAGCACAGGGTCTGGCACATGCTGCAGACTCCTCAATATAAGTCCACTGAATGAATGGCTCAATGAATAATGCACAAATGAACATGTCAAACTGAAACAAATGAGGACTCTGAATTCTTATTCCCCGGTTCTTTCCACTACTCTGTAAATGAGGCTCCCAGAGAGAAATCCAAGCCAACTGAAAATGCTCTAAACCTGTGTGATAGGACATAATAGTTGCTCACTGCACTGGGGAAAGGGGCTCTGGCGGGGAAGGGGCCCTGGTCTGGGAAGAGACCACTGGGTCCTCTACTGGGGCAATCTTCCCAGCCTCTGGGTAGCCAGGCCCTGGTTGGAGGGACCCAGCAGGAAAGAGACTGGGCTGAAGGGCAACCTTACCAGGAGAGGCATGTCACCGGGGGTCAATCGGCCCCTCTCCTCGAGCTTCTGGGGTGTGGTACTGGCCCCGTCCCCTTGCAAACCACAGTGCTGGAGGATATTGCTGAAGACCTGTGAAAGACAAGAACGGGCTCTCTCACATCATACTGAACCAGGGCTAGGACCCCTGGCCGGAGCCAAGGTCAGGTGATCTGAAAACTGCCTTGGAGTTTCTAGAATATTTATCCATGTTTTCAGGATATAAGCTGAGACAATTACTTTCTCCAATAGTAAGGTCAGAGTAAAAACTATGTAAGATGGGAATGATGGGAGCATCCTTCTTACAGGAGGGCGGAGAGGATTAAAAAGACAACCTGGGCCGGGCGCGGTGGCTCAAGCCTGTAATCCCAGCACTTTGGGAGGCCGAGACGGGCGGATCACGAGGTCAGGAGATCGAGACCATCCTGGCTAACACGGTGAAACCCCGTCTCCACTAAAAACTACAAAAAACTAGCCGGGTGAGGTGGCGGGCGCCTGTAATCCCAGCTACTCGGGAGGCTGAGGCAGGAGAATGGCGTGAACGTGGGAGGCGGAGCTTGCAGTGAGCTGAGATCTGGCCACTGCACTCCAGCCTGGGCGACAGAGCGAGACTCCGTCTCAAAAAAAAAAAAAAAAGACAACCTGGGGCCAGGTGTGGTGGCTCACTCCTGTAATCCCCAAACTTTGAGAGGCCAAGGATGGAGGATCGTTTGAGGCCGGAAGTTCAAGACCAGCCTGGGCAACATAAGTGAGACCCCCCATCTCTACAAAAATTTTTTAAAATTAGCTGGGCAAGATGGTATGTACTTGTAATCCCAGCTACTTGGGAGGCTGAGATGGGAGGATCAATTGAGGCCAAGAGTTCAAGGCTGCAGTGAGCTATGATTGTGCCACTGCACTCTAGCCTCAGTGACAGAGCAAGATCCTGTCTTCCCTCCCAGAATCATGTAGATATTATCTGACCGTATAGGCCAAGCAAGTATGATAATGAACATTTAAGATATACCTTTCGCAATGTGTAACAAATCTTTAGAGCCCCTGTAGATAGCTATTTATGGAAACTACATTGAAATAAGACAAATCAACAGTGAGAGGAAAACAGAGTCCATCGTAGGGACTGAACTGACTGTGCCATTTTTAAGGAGGCTGGCATGTAAGGATTCCAAAACTTACTGTGAATAGTGGATATCTCTTAGTGGTGGGATTATGAGGGAATGGTAATGTTCCTCTTTCATTTTTTATTTTCCAAATTTTCTACAATGAACATTATTTCATGAAATAATTTTATAAAACTTTAAAGCTACTTTTTGAGAAACACTGGTCTCTTAAAGGGATATCCTTAGAGGCACATGGCTGTTGGCAAGCAACACAAAACGCAAGCCAAACTCTGTCTGTAGGAGCGCCAGACAGCCAGCCCTTAGGCTTAAGTCTTGTTCAAAACAGAAAAGGGCGAATTTAAAGAGGTGTAGTCAGGGGTAAGACAAAGAGACTGTCTGGGGAGACGGGGGAGTCAGGAAATAAACTTTTCCTCAGCTCTTCCAGGAAAGTCAGGAAACACCACTGAGTTGGGGAGGTGGCCTATACCCCAAGCTTAACCTCCCCTGGGCAGGGCCAAGAGCCGGTACCTGAAGGATGGTAGGCAGGGTTTCATCCAGGTCATTGTAGTAACTTGGCTGCTGTGTAAAGATGTTTCCTAAAAAGAGAAGAGAAAGGTTGGAATTGAGAAAAGGTGGGGGCTTGGTGGAGTGAAGAGGACACATTACATATGGTTGCCAGCGTATCTGTGACCTTTCTCCCTTTTCCTAATCCCATCTGCAGCTAGGACCTCGGATGAGTTCTGGCCCCAGGCCTTGCTGGCGCTGAGCTTTGGCCCAGCCTAGAAGCTTCCCCAGGATTGGGGAGGGACCTTGCTCAGTATGATTTAACCTTTTAAGTACCTCTGCCTAGTGAATTACATAAAAGACCTGCCCTGGTCAAACCAGCTCACCCTGATGTCCCCAAGGAGTGATCACACTTGGGCACCCTGCCTCCTATGACAGCTATGGCTCTGGAAGTTGGAGTTAGTCATCCAGGAAAATCAGCAGATAGGATCTCTTTGCTCAAGAAACATGGATGCAATAATCCAGGACTCTCCAATAATGTGAGGAGATTGCAGGGAGATATTTCTCTGGAAATTTCATGCCTTCCACTTGTAGATATGCTAACCATACTAATCCTACTCCAAGGTGAGAGGCCTGAGAAGGACCTGGAGACAGATTTACCACACACTTGCAGTTGTTCCTATAAGATGAAGCTTGTCTCCGAGTGTTTACTATTCTCCAAGTGCTGCCGCTGTAAGTGCGTAGGTTTGAGCATATGGTAACTGGAACAGAAACCAAGTGTTCTGGCTGCCCAAATGGTGAGAGAGGGAGGGAGGGAGGGAGGGAAGATCACAGCTAGCTTGGGGACGTGACAATGTGAAATGCCAACGCCCTTAAGAGGCCAGGGTTCTCGGCCCCCTATAATCCCACCATCTAAGGCTGGCTGATGGTCAGGATGTTCTGAATTCTAGGTGTTCTCTGCCTTTGGGCAGGTCTGTCCTTGGTTTCCTTATTGATGACCCTGCAGCCCTTCCTGGACTCTGGAGATTTGAAAAATGAATGAGTTCAAAAACCAGATGGGGCTGGGTGAGTAAGTAAGTCACTAGGTGGCTGGACTTTCTGTAAGCACTTCCCTGGATGCCACGCCACTGCATTTCTTGATTCCAGAAAGCTGAGTTTTACCAGCCCAGACTTGCTCAGCACCTCCCATCTCCAGATGGGTGCTGATCCCAGAACCTGTGAAGGTGTGCTCAGACCATCCACACCCACCTCCTACTCCTGACAGGCAAGGAACGACAGAGCTATCTCCCCACCAAACTCTGTTCTTCCTATAAAACCCTCAAGGTTAAGTCCAAACTCCTGACGATGGCACAAAAGACCCTGTGAGATCTGGCCTCTGCTGGTATCCCAGGCTACCCTTTCCCCCTTCCCTACACCGCACTCCTCCCTCACACCATTCTCAACCTCAGAAAACCAGCCCTGTCCCTGCCTTCTGTTTGGAGTGCCTTCCTAGAGCTAACTCCACCATAAAGCAGGAGTCACCTACTCCACGCAGTGCCTCCTGACCCAGGCATTAGGAGAGGTTTCCTCTCACAATCCCCAGGGCCATACCATGTTCTCTAAAGCATCCCAACCACCTTGCACTGGGGAGGCACCCTCTCATGATCCTTCCAGTGCTGCAGTCTGAGTAAAGCGAGGTTTTACATTTGATCTATTAGTATAGATCAAATTTCATACTCTATTCTTGGGGTCTTCTAAGTCCCTTTCCTCACCTTCATCTGATTCTAATGACAGTGACGATCTTCTTTTGATCTCCTAAAGAAATAATAAAAATGTAAGGAACAGCAATGGGATCCTTTGAAATGTCCCTTCTCAGATGAAAGCAGTTCAAAAACCCAGGGTGAATGGAGATACTGCCAAGTAGATCACTGCAGTCCACAATTGGGCCAAGACCCAAGTCATTCCTGGTTTGCAAAGCAGTGCTGAGAGTCTAACTGAAAGGGCTTGCTTTCAAAATTACACTTGTTGATGCATAATACCAGCCTTGAAGGTTAAAAAAAAGGTGGGGGAATAGGGATAGGTACTCAGGAGGTCAAGGTGGGAGGATCGCTTGGGGAAAAAAAAAAGGCAACGTAACGAACTGGGCTTCTACTCACAGAACACTCAACCAGTCCCCTTTCTCCCACCTTCTTTCACTTGTCAATCCTCTTACAAGTGATCACTTTGCCTGAGTTTCTACAGTATAGAAATTGGAGGCTGCCCCTTCATGTACCTTCTGCTCAAAGGTTAAAAAGAGAGCTGTTGTGTACGTGTGTGTGAGAGAGACAGACAGAAACTGCAGGCACCTTCTCTGCATCACTTCCTGTCTACACACACACACACACACAGAGTGAAGGGGCTCCTGAGGCCTGGTCCTGACTTCTTTTGTGCTGACTCCCCTCAAAGAGCCAAAGAAGGGGCTCTTCTTAATAAGCCAGTTTAGGATTCTCAATCTCAAGGTCTGAGAACTCTTAAAAAAACACCTCAGAATCTATGAAGGAGGACATTTTTCTGTATAGAAGTTTTCATCTGATTCTCAAAGGAGTCAGTGATCCAGATGATTCGGAGCCCAGGCACTAAGTGAGTGGGCTTTCTCACTCTCCCATCACCACGCAGTCCCCTCTGGATACCTGCAGCATCTTACACCCAATAGGTCCCGTGCTGAACCTCCCCTCTACCCACAGCTCCCTCTCCCACCTCCCAGAGGGCCTTTTTTTCTGCAACCAACACCAGTTCTAGATGACCTCACCAAGCCCTGCTTAAATCAGGTTCCTGGATTTCCTTTTCCTCCCCAGGAGCCCAGCCAGGCTCTCACCTTCAAACCCACACAGATGCGCCCACCTCCTACAAGGCCTCCTGTCTCCACCCTTCCCACCTGCATGCTGCCAGATGAATCTTGTTACCTGCTCCAAGCTCCTGTAGGCTCCACGGTCTCATCACAGCAAGAGCTCATGCTTACCAATGGTTGTGACATGCCAGGCATGGTGCTGAGCATTCTACTCATGCTATTTCAACAACTCAATTTGTTTTTACCTTTTTTTTTTTTTTTTTGAGGCCGAGTTTCGCTCTTGTTGCCCAGGCTGGAGTGCAATGGCACAATCTCGACTCACCGCAATCTCCGCCTCTCAGGTTCAAGCGATTCTTCTGCCTCGGCCTCCTGAGTAGCTGGGATTACAGGCGCCTGCCACCGTGCCCGGCTAATTTTTTGTATTTTTAGTAGAGATGGAGTTTCGCCATATTGGCCTGGCTGGTCTCAAACTCCTGACCTCAGGTGATCCGCCTGCCTTGGCCTCCCAAAGTGCTGAGATTACAGGCATGAGCCACCACACCCAGCCTCAACAACCCAATTTAATCCTCGCACCCATCCTATGGGTAGGTATATTATTAGTCTTCCCATTCTGCAGATGAAAAAACTGGGGCTTAGAGTAGTTAATTGACTTGGTTAAGGGGACACAGCCAGGAATAGAGCTGTGGTGTGAATTAGGCAGTTCAATTTCAGAGCCTGTCTTCTTAGCCACCAAGCAATACCACTCCCCAGGTGCTAAAGCTTGGCATGAAGCCCTTCCCAATCCAGCTCCAAGGCTCCAACTTCCCCTCCCCTGTCTCCTGCTGCTGCCCTCCTGGAATGCTCCACTCTCTAAGCAAACTGGCCTAAGAATTGTTTCTCTAACTAACTGTGCCTTCTGGTGCTCACTCGCTCCATCCTCTCAGTATGTGGTAAAATTACTAGGAGTCTTTCTTAGGGTCTAAGAGACAGGATCTCATTTTGTCACCCAGGCTGGAGGGCCAAATCAGCCTCCAGAGTAACTGAGACTACAAGGGCATGCCACCACGCCTGACTAATTTTTAATTTTTTGTAGAGACAGGGTGTCGCTGTTTCCCAGGCTGGGAAAAAAAAAAAAAAAAAGATTAACTGATACTCAGGAAATAATTAGATATGAATGAGAAACCAGAGATTATTCCAATGAAAACGTTGGATGCAAAATTTCTTTTTTTCTTTTTTTTTTGAGATGGAGTCTCGCACTGTCTCCCAGACTGGAGTGCAATGGCACCATCTTGGCTCACTGCAACCTCTGTCTCCTGGGTTAACGTGATTCTCCGGCCTCAGCCTCCCGAGTCGCTGGGATTATAGGTGCATACCACCACACCCGGCTACTTTTTTGTATTTTTAGTAGAGACGGGGTTTCACTATGTTGGCCAGATTGGTCACGAACTCCTGACCTCGTGATTTGCCTGCCTCGGCTCCCAAAGTGCTGGGATTACAGGCATGAGCCACCGCGCCTGGCTGCAAAATTTCATATACATTATGATCGAGTATGGTTTAAGAAAAATACAGAGAAAAGACTAGAAGGAAAAAACAACCAAATGGTTGTTTCTTGTAGAAATCTGGTAACTGCTTTCCTGCTTCACTATGCTTTATATCCTTTCAAAATTTCTTAAATTAACATGTATTACCTTTACCATTAAGGAAAAAAAAAGGCTGGGTGCAGTGGCTCATGCCTGTAATCCCAACACTTTGGGAGGCTGAGATGGGAGGATCACCTGAGGTCAGGAGTTCGAGACCAGCCGGACCAACATGGAGAAATCCCATCTCTACTAAAAATAC